GTTGAACAATATCACTCCGCAGATGATAAGGAAAACGCCAAGGCACCAATTAACTCCCACTATCTCTCCAAACGCCAAGCAGCCCAGGGTTCCCTGGAAAGAACGAATCATACTAAGTTTGTAATACAGATACCGATTCAATCAATTTTCAAAACCACCATGGCCATAGCTGTTTTCCTCTACAAAATCTGAAGTCAAGAAAAGGTAGCACAAAAAACTGCCCAAGAGTACAATGCATGTGCTTTAATAGATTCAGATGTTTCTGCTGATCATACTTGGGAATAAGTACCAAAAAGATGCGAATTTTTTAGATAACTTTCGATTGAGTCGATAACTTCGAGCTGAAACAAGGCAAATTTATCAGCAAAATTTAACAATTTTAACCGTAAGTAAGAGATTGGCAGCCAAGTTGGTGGCCATGGGCACGAGGGTAGAAGGAGAAAGGGCAAAACTTCGGGCCATTAAATACGTCATCAAAACATTGAAAATGATTGCAGGCGACAGCAGAACACAAACTGTCAATATCTTTTGCTAAAACACGCCAATAAGGTATAGTTAACGAGAAGTCAATTTTAGGATACCCAGAGTAAAAACTAAAGAATTCATATGCAAATACCACTGAAAAATTGATAGAAAAGAACAATAAGTGATTTTTGATATCAAACATTAAAAGCTTAAAGAGGTTACAGTAACTTCTTTTATCGATTATTTTGGTGTCATAATTTTAGCGATAATGAACACTATTTCTTTTCTCAGCCCTAAAAATAACAAAAACCGCTTTTAACTTGTTTCAATGAAGTTTTTACGAAACCATTGATTATTTTTCTTTTATCAATAATTCTATTATTCTAAAAGTCGAAAAAGAAAAATTATATACCACGAGCAGCATTATTTTTTCTCCGTTCAAATTCCCAACAAGGTCAGTTTTTTCATTGGACCCAAAAGTCTGCGCGAGTTGTTCCCAGGTAGAACGGATAGTATTGCCACTGCACTTGAGACTGAAAGCTGCCATAGCTGCACAACAGCCAGAGGCCACTCCACACACCCAGTCCCCCTTCATCTCACAACAGATACCAGTAGGTGAAAATGGATATAAGCTGTGTTTCTCTTTCACATAATAAAGACTGACTGATGTAAGCTTTCGGATTTTTTAGCTCCACCCCAGATTAGCAGGTGGCCATTCAAATATTACAACTTTTAGACGAAAAAACAGAACTGAGAGGGTCACTAAAAGAGTCTTAGAGCCTCATGACAAAACGCAAAACTGGATACAAATTTCTGTTTATCAGAAATGTGAACAACTAATTATCTGAAACAAATAACCAGTGATACCAAATAAGTATTAACTTTGGTAAAATCAACATATTTGAGCTGAAATACATCAGTACAGTACGTTAAAAATATCCCATTCAAGTAAGCAGATTCCAAGAAAGCAATTAAGTACTGCTCAGGTAAATATTCAATCTATTAATTAATTTGATAAACCAGGTTCAGTTATGTTGCAAATCCTGCCAAGATCTTACACACCCAAGAAAGCAACCAACGATTCTCTAGATAGTTATACAAGATTTACAAAGATCCCAAAAATCAACAAAACTTGACATACGTATTCTTTAATGCTGCAGGCGAATTTAATTCGAAGTATTACCATATGTTGGATGAATCTTCAAGAAGTTTTCAAGAAAAAAAATCCCAGAGAACGGTCAACATTTCGAAACACGGACTTTTCCTTATTCGTCATGGCTTTTCGACAAAAAGTAAGACATAGCCGCTAGGCCGAGAAAACTCCTAGCAAAGGTTCTTTCGATTAAACACTTTATATCAGATTTGGCAGGGTAGTTTTTGACAGAAGTCTCCAAAAAACGTCTAAATTTCAAAATTTCAAATTTAAAACGTCCAAAGATAACTTTCGACAAAAAAAGGGCGCAGTTTCTTATACAAAAAGAAAAAGCATACCACTTTTTTCCGAATTGAACCTTTTAAGTTAGGTCTGGTAGGGTAGTTCTTAAGAACGAGCAAAATTCAGCTGTTTTCATCAGAAAACAAACAAAAAAAATTTTCGGGCAAAAAAATTCAGCAGAAAACCACTAGACAAAAGCAATCAACCGAAGAGAAGTTTGGACATTGCCCCACCAGGCGCTCTCAAAAACCAGATAAAAAAGCGTGAGATTCACTAAAACTTAAGATAAAATCTAAAACTTAAGATAAAACTTAAGATAAAATTTAATTTAAAGGTCAATAAACTGATTTTATTGACCTTTAAATCAAAAGTGTCAGTACAATTCCATCCAAAGGCTTTAATAAGATATATCGCACGACCCATTCCGATGATTATTTGTGGTATCTGATTTTACGTGAAAAAGAAAAACATAGCCAATAGACAGTTGTAAAAGAGTCGATGAGCTCAAGTAAACAGAAACAAAAACTAAATTGATTTTTGAAAAATCTCAATTTTCGAAAAAAAACAGATGGTCTTAAAAATCTTAGAAATTTTAATTGACACTTCTTTTGATAAAAGTAACCGAAATTCAGTCACAGAGGCGAACACTAGCAAAGTCACGACAAGAAGAAGCTCTATGAAGTGAAATAAAAAAAAAGACGAAACTAACAAAAGCAAAAAAAAATCATTTTGAGAAAAATTTAAATTTTTTTTTAGAAAAAAGTCAAAATATACAAGAAGCAGCATTAAATAAATCTCTGATTTTTTACCAACCGGCTAAAAAGCGGCTAAAAAGGCGTTCATTGAGCCAAAAAAGCAGCTCTAAGCCACTCATCCAGCCGAAAACAAAAAATGCCATAAGAAATTGTTGACATAAAAAATCTTTGAGCAATTAAATTGTAAAACTTGGAATTTTTGCCTGAAAAACTAACCGATTGTAAACCAACCATTTTTAGCCCGTAAAACGGCAGAAATCAAAGCAACATAAGCCGCAATAAATTAGGCCGAATGACAGTTTTCAAGCGGAACAAAAACAAACAAAAAAGAAGTCTACATACTCAGAGCTATTATTATTTTTAATATTTACAGGAATACATCGAATAAAAAATTGCATCTACAAAAAAAATGCTGACCGCACAAAAATCATCTACAATGTGGCAACTAGGCCGACATAACATAAGCAGACGCACAAAAGTCCGACAATTCAATTTATCCGGAAATTTTTGTATAATTTCATACATACCGAAATACTGACTTCTATCGACTTCTACAGGATCTATTGACTTCGCCGTTCGTATTCTTCGACGTTCGGATCTATTGACTTCGACGTTCCTATGACTTCGACGTTCGGATCTTTTGACTTCGACGTCCCTATGACTTCGACGATCGGATCTATTGACTTCGACGTCCGTATTCTTTGACGTTCGGGTCTATTGACTTCGACGGCCCTATGACTTCGACGCCCGGATCTATTGACTTCGACGTCCCTATGACTTTGACGCTCTGATCTATTGACTTCGTCGTCCGTATTCTTCACCGTCTCTTTGTCCGTCCGTATGGTTCACTTCGACGTCCGCATTCTTCGACGTTCGTATTGACTTCTACAGGAAAATCCGAATAAATACTGACTTCTGCGTCCGGGTCGGCGGACCACAGTGTGCCGCACTCTCGTGTATCCTGTAAGACCTTACAAAAACCTGCTTCAATATCTGTAAATTATCGGCAATTCAACAGATAATATATAGAATAAGTAATATCGGTTAAACATTTTTCGGTTAACATTTTTAGCAATACGGTTTCCAACAATCTCAAAAATCTATAAACATTTTAATGGCAAACTGACCTTAATCGGACAAACCAGTAATTTTCAAGGCCTTTCGTCTAAGCAAACCTAATTTTAGCTTTTTCACTTTCGCGCTATAATGACGTCATTAATTTAAGATTAATTTAAGCGCGAACATCTTCCGCGCCCAAAGGAGCGAAAACGGGTGCGAGTTTTACGGCCGGTCGAGTTAGCTCCCCGGAGCGGGTGGTAACTACGGCGGATTGGGCTATGTTGTCTTTTCCGTAATTAAGGGTTTTTATACGAGCCAGAGGGTAGTGTCCCCTTGGGCTGCGTTCGTCAACAATCCACACTAAATCCCATGTTTTTAAAATAATGTCACTATCGGAGTGCCACTTACTGCGTTTATTCAGCGCTGGCACATAATCTCGCAGCCAACGACTTCAAATTGCGTTGGCGTAGCTTTGCGCTCGGATATATTGTTTTCGATGGTCGAAGTGCTCCTGGAAAGAGAGAGAAGGGAAGCTAGTACCATTTCGGCCTAACAAAAAATGATTAGGAGTTAACACCTCGAAACCATCCGGACTTGCACTTACTGATGTTATAGGTCGAGCGTTCAGTGATTGTTCTAAAAGACAGAAAGTTGTTTCAAGGATTTCGGGAGTGAGCTTTCTACTTCCTATTATTGCGTAGAATACCCTTTTACAACACCGAACGAGAAGTTCCCAAGAACCACCGTGATGCGGGGCTGCCGGGGGGTTAAATTTCCACTTAATACCCTTTTTCGCCAGCTCTGGGGGTGCTTGATCGTTCCACGACTGAATACAATTTAAGAGTTCTTTCTCGGCTCCCACAAAGTTGGTGCCGTTATCAGACCAAATGACTGATGGAGTGCCGCGACGGGCAATGAATCTTTCGATTCCCGTTACACACGAACTCGTGTCCATGGATGAGACAATCTCAATATGTACAGCTCTGGTGGTCATACATGTAAAAAAGAAGCACCATCGTTTTTCAGAACTCCTCCTGATTGAGACGTAAAAGGGTCCAAACAAAGTAATCAACACCACAGTTTGTGAAGGGAGGCTGGCGGTAACCAAGCCTTTCAACTGGAAGCTCTGCCATCATAGGTGTGACAGTTTTGGCTTTGCGCTTCCTACATATAAGGCAATGGACTTCAATGGACTTTAATAAAGAGCGAAGGTTCAAGATTGTGAATTACAGCTCGCAGGTAGTCTAAGAACTGGTGCTAATAGCGATAATGAATATCACTTACGAACAATTTCACCAGAGAATGCCTTCCATCAAGTATTATGGGGTGTTTTGTGTCATATTCAGTTTCAACTAGGCGGCGAATTCGCCCAGTTGAACGAATTAGGAATAGGACTCATAAACGGTGCATATTGTGCGATACGACTAGACTTTTTGACGGTTTTGTCGCAGGACAGGAGTAAATATTCCGCTTCAAAAGATTCCTTTTGGGAAATCAACAAAAGTCGTTGTTTGGCGGTTTCTAATTCAACCGGATTGGTTATTTCCTTGACTTTAGTGCAGTAGTGCCGGTGTTTCGGACTAAGTCTGAGCATGAAGGCAACCACTCGCTGGAGTTTACGAAACGAGCTGAATTTTTCCCATGCAAATAAAATGGGTTGTTTTTGTTTTTGTGCAACGTTTGAAAAATTAGAGGCCTGCTGTAAACCTTCATTAAGAACACAAGCGGGATCAGCCAGGCGGATTTTCTCAAGTATTTCTATGCTCGGCTTGAAAGGCCACTCGCCACTTTACAGCAGACTTGGCCCACTCACCCAGCTGCTTGTTTTTAAGGACTCCGCTGAGATTCTTCTGGTTCCCGTATCAGCAGGGTTGTCTCCACTTAAGACGTGAAACCGCTGGTATACGGTCGTACTTTCCAGAATCTCTCCAATCCGGTTTGCCACGAACATGGGTTGCTTACTACCTGAGTTAAACCACTGGAGCACAGTGGTGCTGTCAGTCCACATGAACGTGTTTGACACAGGAATGGTTAGAGCTTTGAGGACATCTTCCTTCAAGCGGGTAGCGAGTAACGCGGCCTGCAGTTCAAGCTTCGGGATGGAAAGCGCTTTCATGGGCGTGACTCTTGCTTTTCCAAAGACGAAGGCAACTTGTGTTTCAAGTGAAGTTTTCACACGGGCGCGAAGAAAAGCTACAGCACAAAAAACTTCTTCTGAGCTGTCACCGAACATATGTAACTCAACCCAATCGACTGGTGCGGAGAAGTAGCTGCGCTTTATACTCATTTTCCCTAGAGATGGCAAACCAGAGTGCCAGGCAAGAAATTTTGTCTTGATATCAACGGGTAGCTCATCATCCCATTGTTGACCATGAATGCGCCCGATTTCTTTCAACAATAATCGCGCTCTTACGGTATAGGGCGCTACGAGACCTATGGGGTCTAAAACGGAAGAAACAAAACTTAACACTGTTCGCTGTGTTATCGAATTTTTAAGTTCACGGTTGACACCACGGCTTACGACCAAAGTGTCGTCGATATGGTCCCACTTCAGAGCAAGAACATGAGAAGAATTATCCCCACAAGTGACAAAGTTTTTACTTTCCTGTTGCGGCGCGCTTTGGGGCGGGTTTAACTCTTTATTAATTTTAGTTACGTTACTTATGAACTTAGTTAATTTAAAACCACCTAGAGCTAACAGAGTAATCAACTCTTGACTCATTTTAAATGCAACATCAGGGTCCTCAAAGGAGTCTAGGTAGTCGTCCATATAAAATTTCTCTAGAACTGCGGACGCTGCGTCAGGGAACATCGCCTGATTATCTATTGCAGTCCGTTGCAATGCATAATTTGCACACGTTGGCGAATCTCTCGCTCCAAAGATATGTCTGGTATACTGGTGTACAACCACATCGGCTGTGGGGTCCTCCAGCCACAGAAAACGAAGAGATGATTGGTCCTCTGGTAGGACGCCGACTTGTAGGAACATCCCTTCAATGTCAGCCGATACGGCAAAATGATGTTGACGAAAACGGAGGAGAACGAACACAAGGTTTTGCAGTAGGTCGGGTCCTACTAGCAACGATTTGTTCAATGACGTACCGTGGAATTTAGACGCTCCGTTAAGGACACGCCTCACTTTACCAGGTTTGTTTGGGTTCACCACGGGATGGTGAGGAAGATACCACTCGCATATGCTGCGGTTCGAAAAATTATGGGGAGGAACTTGAATCACGTATCCTTTACTCAAATCATCTTCGATAGTTTTTGAGTATTGATCCCTTAAGTGAGGATCTTTAGCTAAACGTTTTTCCAACGATTTTAACTGAACCAAAGAGGAATAGTAATTGTCTGGTAACATGATAGATTCTTCTGCCCACAGCATACCTACAGTGTATCTTGATCCATCATGGACGGTGGAGGAATCAAGTATTTTAGCCGCCATTTTGTCCTCGGCTGAACGGGAATCGACCTGTTTGTAGGCTCCGTATGACTCTATTTCATACCAGCGTTTGATTTGACAACCTAGTTCGGTATCATCCGTATTGCACTTGAAACAAGAAGAAAGGAAACCAGTAGATGTCGGCATTGGGCCGCTCAAGACCCAGCCTATTGGAACGCGAACCGCGACGGGCGATGTGTTTGGATCGGCCTCACTCTTGAAATACTCCTCAGGCCGAATAGCATGGAAGGAGTCTTGACCAATTATTAAGTCTACATCGGCGTAGCTATACACAATTGGTTTGATTGGAGCAAGGTACGGATACTTGCTCTGTAATGCAGGGATGTTGACGGTATCGGTACCGACTTTAAGTTCATCCTTGACAAATGCGGTTAAACCGAATATGTATTCGAATCCATCGAAGTTAGAAGATACCTTCATTTGAACTTGTTTCGTTTTAACAACAGTCGTTGTGTTATTACCATTTACTGTGAGATCCAAATCGCTTCCTGAGAGATTCAGACATTTGACTAATTTAGCCGATATCCAGGAATGACTAGATGCTGAGTCACACAATGTTAAAAAATCAGCACTCTGGGAATCGGTGGAAACTTGGAGCTTGATTATGGGCAGTAACCCTTTCGATGTTATGATTGATGATTGGTCGTTCGAGATTGCGCAACTTACATCCAACGGAACGGGATTAATGTCTGCATGATTCGAACTTGCGTTTGGTATATTCTTGCTGAATGATTTTCGATCAGCGTTTGTGCTCGCTTTATCCGGCTCTGCATTAGATCTTGTTTGACCAGCGTTGGGTCTTGTATGGCTATCATTTTTGTCCAGATTTCGACAAGGAAAAACACGTTCAGCCCCATGGAGAAGTACACTATGGGTGCTAGTGCAACCTGGTTTGGTGCATTTCTTTGCTCTGGGACATTGCCGGAATGCGTGGTTCCCTTGTAAGCAGGAGAAGCACAATTTAATTTCCGCAGAAAATTTCGCACGTTGTGTTGGAGTTTTCTCCTTAAACACAGAGCACTTCCACAAGGCCTGTTTCCCCTTGCAGAGGATACAAGAAGGATATTCAAACTTTTTCTCAACTGCACTTGTCGAGGCAAAAACTCTCGTTACAGCTTTAGTTTTGGATGGCTCTTCGACTTTGGGCTTTCCAGGCATATTTTTCATTTGCTCATGAGCTTCTGCTTTATCTTTTAACCAATTGTTAAAGTCAATTAGGTTGGGGCGTGACCAATTACGTTTCACGACAAAAAGTGACCACGATTCTCTCATGTTTGGTGGAATTTTCGAAAGAGCTTGATTTAACAAAGAGACGCTTTTCAAATCTTCTTCATAATCAAGAGATCTATAGACAGCCACTAGACTTGAAATGGTCATCGAGAAGCTAATGATGTTCTCAGAGTTGTGCATTCGAAGCTGCGGGAAACTGGACAACTTATCAAGGTGGGCCGTAATTACGTTTTGTGGCTGGCCAAACTTTCTTTCCAGAGTTTTCAGAGCATCCTTATACATTCTTCCACTGTATGCGAACTCGTGACTAATGTTTTTAAATAAGTTAACTTCACATCATCGCTTTCCCGTGACTAATGTTTTTAAATAATTTAACTTCACATCATCGCTTAGGTCTACAGTACTGCAAAATTGCCCAAACCATTCGTGCCATTGGAGCGGGTTGCCATCGTACTGGGCCAGCTTCCATTCTGGAAGGGGATCCTTCTTTGAGACTGACAGAGCTTGGACTAAGTCATTCAGTGTCACGGCTTGCGGTTGGGGAGCTCGTTGCAACGACGGCAATGTGTTGCTAGGATCAGCTGCAAAAGGTTGCTGCTGATATATGTAAGTGTTTTCAGCTGATGCGTCGTGATTGGGAAACCCATAGTAAACGGTACCACCACTTGATACGTGCGGGAATTGTTGCTGAGATACCATCACTTGTTACCCCAGCGATACATTGGGCGACTGCGGGTGTCCACTGGGGCATTAGTGGCACATTCGGCTGATTAATAACAGCAGACTGTCCGCTAAACGGATTGTTCACTGAAGCAGGGTTGCTATACACGTTATGTGATAGCAAGTTTTGATTTCTGCAGATTAAATTTGCAGGTGTTTGTGACAAAATGACATGGGGGGTGTATCCAGAGTATTGATTGGAGTTGGCGGGCATGTTTCCAACAACTCGAGAATCGTTATTAAAGTTGTTGACGGGGATATGTTGAATGGAAGACGAAGGATGAGGTACAGAAAAGTAACAGCATAACGGAGTATTGGTAGCTGCTGTTACAGCTGGATTAAATAATGACGTATTATTGTTTTAGCAAAGTGTAGCGTTATTTGAAATAAGCAATGACTGCGTTTCGTGCTCAGGATTAGTGGATACAGCGTGCTTGATTCCATCGCCATCGCTGAAGGAGACGGTTGGTTGATAGGGATAACATTGTTGATCACAACCAAAAGTCTGATTCGGCAACGATCGCCGAGGTGATATTTTATCAGACGGTTGGTTGATAGGGATAACATTGTTGATCACAACCAAAGTCTGATTCGGCAACGATCGCCGAGGTGAAGCTCCCGCTGTGGACACAAATTTGTGGACATCGTCGATAATTTAACTCAATTAGTTCTGTCATTTTGATTACTTTTAAACTTGTTCACTTCTACTCAACCCCTCAACTGCTCAGTTTGAGAGAAAAAAGGAATAATTAATTTAAGACCTTAACTTTAGTATTAATAAATTATATTCTGACTCATTAAACAATATCACACATTAGAGCACTTTATTTAACTCCTAGTTGCTGCTCAGCATTTCTTCTGTTTCGATTAGCTTGCCGCTTGCGTTTCCTGGCTTAGGAGTGTTTCTCTTTTAAATAATATACTTCAAATTCGTGCTATATCGCCTAAGGATCGTAAACGTTTTCAGTTCTAGACAATGATCCTGGTGTAGTTCTAAGTACTTTTGCCCTAACTCAGTGAGGTTCTGCTTCCTTCTAGATATCAGGTCTGTTACTATATTAATAACTAAAATACCTGACTCTTTCAACTTACTATATATCTCTTCCGTGCCTACACGTTTACAGTAAACGATTGCATAAATATTACATTTATAGTTTAAAAGAATCTTCTTAAGCTGGTTAGGAGTTAGTGCGTTAAAGTTATTACTACGGTGTCGACTAATAGAGTTATTAACGGCGTCGTGCTAAATAACAATGTCGTTTCGGTTTAAGAAGTGATCAAGTTGATACTGACAAGTTTTACGGACGTTCACTGCGTTATGGTGGAAACTTAACCCGGGAATGGCTAAGCACGATTGAGATACACGCTTTTGCGAAGCGGGGGAAAGTATTTTTAAAGCGTTGTGCAGCGAGCTAGCAGCTAGTATGAACATTTAGTGATTTAAATCAACTTAAGAGGGAGGGAATCAAGCAAACCGCGACCTGACCTCCCGCAACACCCTGAGCTAACAAGGTTGTAGCAAAAGGTAAGACGATTTGCTTGATAATACGCTACGGGTCTCGACTACGGCTACTTTTATCCAATTGAACTAGTTTAGTTAGCTGCACCGCGTTTCAAGAATAAACACGGCGTTTTTTCAGAATTTTTTTTTCGAAAAATTCGGATTTTTTTTCCCGAAAATTTTCCAAATTTTTTTTTTCCGAAAATTTTTTTTTCCACGTTTTCACCCAACGATTCCATCAGTAACCTGGTGCGCTTGCGAAATTTTGAGTTTTTTTTCGTTAAAAAGTCCGAAATTTGGGCAAAAAACTTGACTCGGGCGTTTAAGTTAATTTATTATGAAACTAGGCGCTTTGCTGACTAATTTGCAAAACTTTTTCAAATACATTTTTTTTTCAATTTTTTTTTTGCTTTTTTTTTCGATACGGTGTTGGGCTTACAAACACGGTGTTAGGATAACGTAATTAAGGTTTATGAGGCCGGTTTTTACCTAAACCCACAGAAAATTTTCTGATCAGTTTTTGGTATCGAGAAAAATTGGGGGTTACGATTTTGCCATCAAAAAACCTCGTATCAGAATTTAAAGCATCAAATCAGCAAGTTAGCACAAATGGATAAAGTTTTGGTTTTTTTTTAGTCTTACAAGTTTTGTAGAAGCGTTCACCGGTAGAATCCAAAATTGGGGTGTTGAGAAAAAAATGGATGTCCACAATCCACAATCAGGATACCTGAAAAGGCCTCTGTTCGTACCTTCTACAGGACAACCCGAATAAACACTGACTTCTATCGACTTCTACAGGATCTATTGACTTCGCCGTTCGTATTCTTCGACGTTCGGATCTATTGACTTCGACGTTCCTATGACTTCGACGTTCGGATCTTTTGACTTCGACGTCCCTATGACTTCGACGATCGGATCTATTGACTTCGACGTTCCTATGACTTCGACGTTCGGATCTTTTGACTTCGACGTCCCTATGACTTCGACGATCGGATCTATTGACTTCGACGTCCGTATTCTTTGACGTTCGGATCTATTGACTTCGACGGCCCTATGACTTCGACGCCCGGATCTATTGACTTCGACGTCCCTATGACTTTGACGCTCTGATCTATTGACTTCGTCGTCCGTATTCTTCACCGTCTCTTTGTCCGTCCGTATGGTTCACTTCGACGTCCGCATTCTTCGACGTTCGTATTGACTTCTACAGGAAAATCCGAATAAATACTGACTTCTGCGTCCGGGTCGGCGGACCACAGTGTGCCGCACTCTCGTGTATCCTGTAAGACCTTACAAAAACCTGCTTCAATATCTGTAAATTATCGGCAATTCAACAGATAATATATAGAATAAGTAATATCGGTTAAACATTTTTCGGTTAACATTTTTAGCAATACGGTTTCCAACAATCTCAAAAATCTATAAACATTTTAATGGCAAACTGACCTTAATCGGACAAACCAGTAATTTTCAAGGCCTTTCGTCTAAGCAAACCTAATTTTAGCTTTTTCACTTTCGCGCTATAATGACGTCATTAATTTAAGATTAATTTAAGCGCGAACACGAAACAAAACAAGTTCCGGCCAAAATCTTAAGGCACAAAAGGAAAACCGCGTTATCTCTAGGCCGTGGAAAGCAGTCTCAAAGTTTCTAAGCTGCACTAATAGAGTAAGTTCAATTTCAACTTCAAGAAAAGTGGTTTACGGGGAAAAAAGTCTTGTTCCCAATTAGAAGACACTGTCTTTTACAAGTGTATAAATTAAATTTCAAAGTTAGAAGTCGATCACGTTTTTTGTTACCTTTACATTTGCTATGTTGGATACTTGATTTTCCCTTCTTTTAACTTAACAAAGGAAATGAACTGAGTTACAGAGAAAACAAAAGTCGAATCGGGAATAAGTAAATTTGAGCCTAACATTTTTCAAGACAATTCCTTAAAAAAAGGAATGAAAACAAGTACAGCCGATTACTGTGCAAGTAGCACAAAACGTTCCGACCAGTCTTGAAACATACAAAAAAGTTTTCTCATAATAGTGTCGTTTATTTTCTGCGTGAAATGATAAAAAATCTTAACAAAGAAATAGAAACTAGGCATATTCGACAATCATAATAAAAAAAGGCCAAATGGAAAAGAGTTTTTGTAGAAAAATCACTAGACAAATGAAAAAAAAATCGTTAGAAATTCAAAAAACGTTTCAAAAATTTTTCAAATTATTTTGCTGAAAGTTTTTGAATTTTGAAGTTTTTGATTCGAAAATTGGCGTTGAAAAACTCTAATCGAGTTAAAATAAACGTTCACGTCTCAAATTAAGTATAAATAAGCGTTCGTAAGCCTGCTTAGCCACACGATATTAGCTCGAAATGAGACCAAACTTTTCAAACTGGTTTTCTCGACACTGAGAAAAATTGTATGACTGGAAGGGCTTTAATATGATATATCACTCTAGCCATTCCGAGGATTATTTGTGTTACCTGATTTTGCGTGGAAAACAAAAAACTTTAACACTCCAATACAAAGTTCCTCCGCATTTTTCAAATGGTCGGAACAAAACAAAAACACGATCCAAATAAAAGTCTGAACTACACTTATTGACTTTTGATGACGACGAAGTTCTAAAAATTGTGCAATTTCTTGAAGTTTATCCAAGTGTAATAAATTGTCTAAAGTATCAACCCTCAAAAAATTCTGAAGCACATGATTTTTTGCTGTCATAAAAACACCAAAACCAAAGTAATAATAACATTTCTTTTTAAAAAAGCATCGTTCATCTCATTTTAAATTCCCAAAAAAAAAATCTGCTCAAAGAAAAAAGAGAATTTTAATAAAATTCTGTTCAATAGAATATAATTATCACAAAAATACACTTTTAAATTTACTCAAGATCCTTTAACGTTTTTAATCATGCTGGCCAGTTGATCCCACTGTTCCGTTGGTACTCGTTCCAAACTGTTAAACTCGCCCACCATACTCATGAGTTCTCCGCCATCGAAGTTGATCACTTCACCTGTGAGCCACGAAGAATAATCACTCACCAGATAAGCAGCCAAGTTTGAGATCTCATCTAGTTCTCCAAGTCTTTTCGTAGGGATTCTCTTCACCATCTCCTTCGAAAACTGACCTCCAGGGTCCAAACGACTGAAGGCTCCTTTGGTGTAGATGGGTCCAGGCGCGATGCAGTTGAAACGGAATCCGTACTTTCCCCATTCTGATGCCAGAGATCTATGCAAGGTTTGGACTCCGCTCTTAGCACAAGCACTAGGTACTACATAGCCACTGCCATAGTGCGCGTACACTGTTGTTATTCCCAGAAAGTTTGCTCCTTGCTTTGCGTCGATAAGTCTCTTTCCGATGTCCATGGTGACGTTTATGGTTCCCATGAGAACGATGTCCACAACAGATCGAAATGCATTAGAGCTTAGTCTCTCAGTTGGCGATATAAAGTTACCAGCTGCGTTGTTGATTACGATATGTGGCAAACCTAGGTCTCCAACGCATTTGTCTACAGCACTCGAAACAGCCTCCGGATTCCTGACATCGGCAGCTGCTGTCAAGATTTTAGCTTCCGGGTCTTTTTCTCGAATTTCTCTCGCTGTTTGATCCAACACGTCCAGTTTTCTGCTTACAATACAACATGAAGCTCCCATTTCACTAAGTCGTTCCGTTATAGCGCGGCCTATTCCTGTTCCTCCACCTGTTATGAAGGCAACTTTACCCTTGAAAGTGTCTTTGGGTAACATACACTTGGACAAGGCAGCAAAAGATTTCTGGACAAGTTCAGAGGAGCCCATGATGATCTCAAACAGCAAACACCGAAGTAAAATAGGAAAATCTCAATTGTTTTAAAAAACAAAAATATCATGAATGCTTTACGATTCTATTCAGTTAAACTGTTTATTAAGAATGAAGAAACTGCAGACAAGCGGGAAACCACAACGTTTAAATAGAATGGTTCAACGGCAAAGATACGGTATAAAGAAGAGTTCAAATACAAAACAATAACTACAAGGAAGTTTCAAAGTTTTTCAGTTTCCAAAACTTGACGCAGTTTTCAACTTTTGGCGTCTCGTCTTCGCTGTCTTCCTCAGATGACTCTAGACTCATTTTTGTGCGCGAGTAATGTCTCTGCCCGGATCCAGAAGCGATCAATCCAGGTGTGCAGGGGTTGCAGGTCACGCTGTTGCAGCAGTCTTCGTGAGCCCTGATTACCGAAGGAGGGCAATCCAATTTGTTTAGGTCGTACAAAAGCAGGTACCCATCTAAAGATCCTGTCACTAGGTGATGGTGCGCCAAGGAGTCAAAATCTATCCTCTAAAACAGCCAGGTCTTCAAATCATTACCAGTGGCAGGAAAATATACCCTATTCCAAAATACCCCATACCATTCTACCCTATGCCATTATACACTATAGACCAATCTACAGTGTCGGTTTGCCGCATTATTAATGTAATCTTTCAAAGTGCTAATTAGAATCGTAATACTTATTGCACATGTGAAGTCATTTGAGTACTTTCACTTAAGCAGATTGTTACAAAGACTCAAGCGTTATGTTAGCCTCAATTTCGGACATTTTTCTCAATATGCAATATCACGAAATTTCCAATTCAAAATTTATAAACACCAATAAATTCCAACTTTCAATATCACGTACAAAAATGAAACAAAAACTAACTATATCAATTTTCCTTGAAATAACAATCATCAAAACGAGTCAAATTAAACAAAATATTGGTACTCGGATTGTATGAAGTCCATGCAATGAAGGTATTAAGCTATATGACAAGTTTGATACCGACGACAACATCGCCGAAAAACTTGATGAGCTAGCCTCATACCTCATACTTCCAACGCACCAACATCAAAGGCGAAAGCATTGAAAAGAATTATCGCGATCTCGTTTTTCCAGTAACCATTTGGAATCATTCCGATGAAGCAGCTACTGGACTTAGAAGGGTTGCATCTTCGCGCTGCTACTCTATTAAAAGAAATCTGCAAAATGGATGCTACAAATCAAAAACTCAAAGCATTGAAAGAAGTGGGGAGGGAAACAGCGACCCCAGCAACGAGAAATACAGCGAATTGAACGAGAAAGTGAAAAAAAAAACATTTGAAACAACTCTAACAAAGAATATAGTTTAAGGTAATTGCTCGAGAAAATACAGATAAGTCAATCCTTTTATCTTCAATTTATTTTGATCAAATTGTATGAAATTTTTTAAAGTTCTCGAAGTCGTACAGGGCTGCTATTTTAGGATATGACAGTGGCCAATATCAGAATCCTTTTTTTCTCTTTCTCCCTGCCCCCAGTACCGCCTTGGCCCGCTACTGAGGGGGGTCTGCACTTCGCATTTCAGTTAAGCCATTTGACTTCGCGGTGACTTGATCTTTTGAAAATTGCATACTAGAGCACATGTAGTATCCAACAAGCTAAATCAACTATGCAGTTGATGACTTTTGCTCGTTTTAGATATAACCTCAACACATTTCTATCACAAAATTGGAATAAAGCTTCTGTTCGCTCATGCTTGGAATTCATTTCCATTTTGCACAAGCCAATTACATTTTGCTTTGATGTTTTATTGATGTACGGCAATTGCTCGTTGGTCAAAATTAATAGTTCTTTTACCTGTTTGGAAATATTTTGTTTCGCATTCTTCAATAAGATGGGGTAAGTTTCAATTTCTTTAGTTATAGGGTAAAAAGGTATAAGGTGGATTGGTATAGGGTAGATTAGCACAGGGTAGATTGGAAAAGGGTATAATGCCATGGAACTTGATTCCCTTATTCAATTGAAATTATATGCAGATTAACACAAGGACCAATAATTTCATGTTGTCATAACGTTACTTTTAAAGTGCCGAATCATGATTTTCAGCCGCAAAATTCTTCTGTAAATGTTTATTATGCGGCTCAAAAAATTTGAAAAAACAAAATTTATAGTGTTTGAGAGCTAGCCAAGATTTAAAAAACTATGGAGAACTCCAGGTTCGAGCATACGGCCACTCGCTTTCACTACAGAAACGCATCTTTACGTGTTGAGCATACCTGGTTGGAGTTCGCATTTCTGGCGAGACTGGCACAAAGGGGCACTGCCAATTGTCTCAAGTCCCAGACGCACAGTCTGTTGTCTCGTCTCGCCCCAGATATGAGCAGTTGAGAGTCAGGAGAGAACTTAACTGATGTCACACCTCTGTCACGGTGACCTCCACTTAACATGGCCGCCTGAACGAAAACAGATTGAAGTCTATGTCGATAAATCACATGGCCGCCTGAACGAAAACAGATTGAAGTCTATGTCGATAAATCACTAAAATAACACTTTTCCCATTTTTCAAAAATTCTTCTTCATGTTCAAGCCCAATTTGAATTAAGAACATGAGTACAAAGGAACCTCACTCAGCAACGCATTGCTTTTAAGCCAAAAAACCAATGCTAAAAATTGAATTAAAACTTTTTTTGAAAATGACGTCATCGAGAGATCAAACGGGAAATTTCTCAAGAGCATTTTCAACGAATAATTACTTATTGAAACATTGACAATGATAAGACAATGTTTAGAGATATTCTATGAAGAAAGAACCGTGTTAATGATCATTAACAATCATATCATTAATGTCGATTTGTGACTTCTTGATATCTTAAATGTAACTGTGAACACTTTTTAACATTTGACTGTAAGATAAAGTTGGGAACTAATGATGAGAAACCATGCAATTGAAAGCTCAAAAGACTAATGGTTTGGCAATCATTATCATGGCGACCAAAGACTTCTGATGTGCACAATGCTTCCCGCTTGACTAGGGATCTGGACGCCTCTACCAGTACTACATCAATTTCATCCAGGTTTTCAAAAGGGATCAGGACCAGGCAAGATCTTTCCAAAACTTGTACTAGCCTTCATACCATATGCATACAAAAAAACAATTAGTTACGGCTGCGTTTAATTGTTGTATTGGTTGCAAATACGAGTTTGATTTGATATTGTACTCAAAATTGTGAATGAGGCAATTTTTACTCAAAGGACCGAAGCCAGTTTTTTGTCTCAAAAGTTGTGATTTAAACAAATGTACATAAGTGGCGATTTCATATGTTGCTTTATCATTTCATACGTAATACAGTTTTATTTCATATGTCAGAATGCTTTTCATCAAAGTTTTTAGATACGTTCTTTGCTGCACTAATTTAAAATACTGAAAAACTCCTCGGGGAAACAACGATAGATTTTAAGGAAAATAGAAACTTTTTTTTGCATTTTAAGCTTTGTGTTCCTGACTCAACATTAACTTAGATTTCTTTATAAAAAAAAGCGCTATAGAGTCCATAACTCATGTACGCATAACAAACAAAAACAAGCTTGGTAAAAGCTCTTTAAATTTTCAAAAAAGGAATAAAAATAAACAGTACAAAAATAAAAATGTAATAAGGTTTTTAAAGTCAGTTGAATTTTTCTATAGGCTTCATAAAAGTTTCCACTTACACTCAGAAAAAAAAGTTGCTAACGAATTCAAAATTGGAGGTTTTATTGCTTTAACTCATATAGACTAATAAAACTTTTTTGGGCAATATCGCGCACAATAATTTTTATATCAGAAACGCTGGGTGTCATCAGGAACGGTACGATGCTACGGCATCCTACGACGAACACTATAACGATTTACAACATCCAGTTCAATAAAATGTTTTTCAATTTATCGAAACTTTTGTTACCTTACAAATTTATTTCAAAGCTTGTTTTGAGCTTTAGGCTGGTCCCTTTCCAGCCTTACTAATTTGTTCGTCAGATCAAACGTACCTCTTCAAAATTCATTCTGCCCAGTTTTGTCTCGCTCGCTAGTCATCTCTAGCTTTTCTCGTTTGCTCGACAGAGCAAACCTTTCTCCTTAAAGTTAGGTAAACCCAGCTTTCTCGTCGCTTTGCTAGTATATCTAGCAATTTTTGTTTGTCCGGCAGAACAAACCGTTCTCCTTAAAGCTGGGTCTACCTAGCTTCCCCGTCGTTTCGCTAGTGCATCTAGTAATTTTTGTATGCTCGTGAGAGCAACCTTTTTCAAAGTTGGGTAAACCCAGCTCCTTCCCCACTTCGCTAGTTGTCCCTAACTTTTACCGTTTGCTAGTCAGAGCAAACTTTGCTTCTCAACAGTACTCGTGCTTGTGTCTTTGACAGCAAAGCTCTCTTCAAAATAACCAGTCGCTACTGGTTTTCCCTTGCTTGGCCTAGGACACTACTTGACTAGTTCTTACTAGTCTTTCATCCCTTAATCTACTTTGTTTTGTTGGTCGGCTACGCAATGGCTCACAAAGTAACAAACTTATGAACTAATGGCATTGTCGATATCGTTCATTAGAAAAACTTGAACATCAACTGATATCCGAAATTGCTTCTTCCCAAGAAGTCGACGATGTTAAGCTTTCCCTCGAGGAATTTGTTACTCTGGTAACAGAAATTGAAAGTATTTCTACGACTGTTTTGAACGTACTTCTACATTGCGCAATAGAAAATGCAAAGCAATTAAGCAAGTGAAAAAGTACGAGAAGACTTGCACAAGTGTGTAGTTCCAGCGTTAACTTAGTTGCTACAGCAATAATAACCGCAAGCAGGTGTTCATTTTCAACTGAAACAACCAGTGTTGGAATGTATCGTAACGAACAGCGGCACTCCATTTTGGACCAAGATCCATCAAATCGCATGACATTTCAAGATTCCAACTTTTCTGTGGATGAGAACCTAATTAGAACTCCACACGATTCACGCGTCTCACACGATTCAAGTCGAGGCTCCACTAATAAAACAGATGACGCGAGATTTAAACCATTTCACTAGAACATCCACTGAACCTCCACAACATATTGAAGGCTTGTATAATTCAAGTTACCTCAATTATACAATCCTTACTCCAATTCTTCATCACAGAACTATGGAATTTTCCAACGTCAGACTCAAACCTCCGACAGGCCGTTGCCAACCGCTACAACTAGTAACCCTCTTCGGTCGGGCACACGATATGGTCATCGATGGACCTCAACTGACGAAATGAACATCAACCAAAGTTCGCAGCCCATGTTGACTAGTTCGTCTAATCCACAAGACGCCTCATCTGCTTATAGCTTGAAAGGTTTCAAACTTCCCGATATACGTCTATCGAAATTCGATGGAAATCCTCTTGAAAGGAACAATTGGTTTGAACTATATCAAACAGCTATTGGAAAGAATCCTCGTATAAGTCCTGTGGAGAAAATTACATATCTTCAAACACTATGTACAGGCAGCGCAAAAAGTTTAATAGAGAGTTCTGGCACAAACTCTAGCCAGTATGACCAGGCCAACGAAGAACTCATTCGTAGTTTTGGTAATCCAAAATTCATTGTGGCTGCATACATAGAACAAATCGAAGACTTCGAGCATCCACATCTACGCAACCCTTTGTCATTTGTGAGGTATTCGACTTGCCTCCGCACGCTCGTTCATAACTTTGAAGCTAACGGTCACTTCCAATCTAGGATCAACAAATGTAACCATTATTGCGCGCAGCAAGCTTCCTCCTGCTGTTTTGATGAAATGTGCTACGGTTTGGAATATGCTACTTTAATCGATTTTTCAAATTGGCTTAACAATTATTCGAAAGTTTGGATTTCAGATTGGAAAATCGTCACCTGTCAAAACTAAACACTGTCAACAGCATCATGACAACAAGAATTGGTCTTTTCTCAAAAAAGACCATAGCGCAAATGATCCAAATAATCCTTATTCTACTTATCGCAGTTTCACCACGCCATTGAGTATTATCTGTCCCATTCATCAGGGCAATCATTATTTGGGACGTTGCCCCGAATTCAAAAAATTGCTACTCAAGAAACATTTGGAGATCGTTAAGAAACACATGTTTCAATTGTCTTTATAAACACAAGTTGAACGCTTGCAGGTCAGAAAAACGATGTAAGCAAGATAGCTGCGGTCAGAAGCATCATTCAAGTTTGCACAAAGAAAAATCTGGAATTGATAGCAAAAATCAATCTCAGAAGTCTAACAACGTCGAAGTTGAACAACGAGTTCTCAATTCGCCAGATGCCGATGATGGCATAAATCCGGATTCACTTTCGGTCATTCGAAATCAGTTACAGTATATGCCGGTAATCCTGATTAATGACAAAACCTTAATTCAGTGTTATGCAATGTTGGACAACTGCAGCAGTTGCTCTTATATATGCAAAACTACAGCGGAAGAACTGAACAGCGTTCCAAAGCAATCAGTCGACTTAAAAATTCATGGAGCTTTCTCAACGGATAAAATTCATTCCACCTAAATTTCACTGAGTGTTGGAGCATTCAACTCTACGTCAGTTCATTTTAAATTACCGAACGTTTATTCGGTTGATAAAACTCACTTCGACGTCGTCAACGTCAAACAATTGAACAACATTTATTCCAAATTTGATCATCTCAGCCACCTCAATTACCCTGAACTTGATGAAAATCATGTCCGTGTTCTCCTTGGTGTCGATGCTTTCTGGTTCATTGCTGAGAGACATCAAGAAGGTTCCCGTTGGAAGCCCATTTCCAATCAGAAACTTGCTTGGATGAACCATCAATGGACCTCTGAAGCTCCGAATACCTGGACAAAGAACCACGAGAACAACAAACAAATTATATTGATGGTCGCAACAGAAAGCAACCAACTTTAAGCAAACTTGTCGAAAAATTCTGGAAAGTTGAAGACTCTGCAATATCTGTTGATTTTCCTCCAGCTTGAAATTCAAGAAAGATCGACAAATTACTTAGGGTCAGTATAACATGAACATACTGTGGAAGCAGAGTGTGAAGCCACCAAACAACTTCGCAATCGCCAAAGCTCAATTAGGCTCACTTCAAAAACGCTTAAGTAAAGACCGATACCTTTTGGATTCATATAATAAGTCTCTTGCTACGGACATTAAGAAAGGTTATGTAAAACCAGTTGTTTTCATAAATCCTCAGCCAACTAACGTCTGGTATTTACCTCACTACCCGGTTGTAAATCCAAATAAACCTGAAAAAGTTAGACGAGTCGCAAATGCTGCTTCAATGTTTCAAGGTATCTCCTTGAACTCCTGTTTAAAAGCTGGGCCTGATCTTCTCAACAACATGTCTGGATTGCTACTTCGTTTTCGGGAACAGCCAGTCGCAGTATCTGCCAATATCGAGGGTAAGTTCAAGCCAATTGGTATTAAAGAATAAGATCAAACTGCTTTACGATTCCTGTGGATCACTGCAAAGGGCATTAAGCAAAATCAAAATACCAGCTTGATATTTGATAAGAAAAGTTCACCTTCAATTGCAATACTCGCATTGAATCAGACCGCGAAAGATTTCGCAGCTAGCGATCGCAAAACAGCTGAACTCATCAACCGGAGTTTTTATATGGATAACTTTGTCCATTCGTTTGAGTCCATTGAAATTGCTCAAGCGACCTCTTTGAAAGTAAAGACGGTGCTGAATAAGAGTGGTTTCAATTTAACAAAGTTTGTTTCAAATAAATCCGAAGCTTTCGTAAGGTTGCCTGAAACGGACGTTGTTCGAATTAATTCGATGCAAAGAATACTCGGAGTGCATTGGGGCACAAACGATGACACTACGTTTGTGAAAACACAAATCAAACACGATTTTCAAGGCAAAAATATGACTCTCCGTTGAATGCTTTCCTCAATAGCGACAAAATTCGACCCCTTGGGATTTCCTGCACCTTTTGCAATCACCGTGAAAATCATGCTACAAGTGATCTGGAATTTCATTGGATGAACAAATACCACTTGAATACATGTATATCGTTGAAAAACGGCTACTACAATGTCGACAAGGATTATCTGTGAAATTTCCACGTCACGTAGGAATTTACTTTCACAACACAAACAAACAGCTGCATGTTTTTGCCAACGCATCGCAAAACGCCATGGCAGCTTGTATTTCCGTTTGAACTACTACAGCTTCTAAACTCAACGTCAACTTTCTTATTGTAAGAACCAAAGTAGCTCCACTGAAGCAGGAGAGCATCCCTAAGCTCGAGCTACAAGCCGCTGTGATTGCATCGCGACTCTGGAAATTCGCTTCAGACGAACTGCGGTTTGAACCAAACTCTGTTTTCTACTGGACAGATAGTACAACGGTTCTTGCATGGCTTGAGCATATGCCTAGGCGCAAAAACTTTTGAAGCAATAGGCTCACTGAAATACTTTCCACTTCCAAAGAGTCACAATGGAATCATATTTCAGGGACTCACAATCCAGCTGATCTTGCCACAGGAGGAATACCCCTTTCCGATGTAGATAAACTCTGGTTCCAGCCTCCTGTGGACACCGGACTTGCAGTGGTTTAGGCCTCCACATAGGGAAGTTACATTCTTCAGCGCAAGACTATGAGAGGTCGAGCCACTAATTGATTTTTCACGTTTCTCTGATTGGCTCAAATTACTCAAAACAACTACGATGGTTCTAATGTTTATAAGCTCGCTAAGGAACAAAAGAAAAAAATAGCCGTACGCATATTACCTGGATTCAGCAAAATCCCTTATTTTTGAAATTTCTCAAAAACAAATTTTTTCCCAGAAACCATCACACGATTACAACAAGGGAAAAAATTGGACAACAAAGACGTTCTGTAAGCATTTACTCCTTTCATGGATGATAATACTCGGAAAACTAGGGGACGTCTTCGAAATTCACTACTTACCGAAACCGCCAAATACCCCATTTTTCTTAATGCTAAAGAACCAGCAGCGCGAATTTTAGTCGAACACGCCTATTGCCGATGCATGCATTTGGGCACAGAATATGTCCGCAATTACCTTCAGCAAAATTTTCTTATCATGGTTTGCGCCAAGCTTTGAAACAAATTCGCCATCGCTGTTTCTTCTGTCGGCGATTCCAAGGAAGGGGACGCAGCGTCTTCATGTCAGATCTTCCCGCCACTCGCTTTCAGGATCCAAATGAAAACCTTTACCCATTCAAAACTGTAGGTATTTCATATTGCCGAAAACTCATCAACGGCGAAGCAATATATCTGCTTGTTCACGTGCTTTATTACTCCTGCTATGCATTTAGAAACGACAGAAAGCCTCACAACGGACAGTTGCGTGACAGCTATTCGCAGGTTGATAGCACGCCGAGGCTCACCACAACGAAGACTCTTGGACAATGCGACATACTTCATCGGAGCGAAAAGCAGTTGCAAACAGAGCCACTGTCATTCGATACAGAGATAGCCAGCTACTTACATGATCAAAATATCAGCTGGAAAATGAAACCTCCTTCTGCTCCTCACTTTGTTGGTGTCTGGGAGAGACTCGTTCAGATGATTAAACGAGTTTTCCTTCTGATATGCACGCCTCTCTATCTCTTCATCACAATCGTCGCTGAAACCGAAGGACTTTTGAATGAACGACCATTGACGCATGTGAACCATGATATCGCCGACGACCTTCCGTTGACTCCAAATCATTTTCTCCTTGGTAGACCTTTTGTGTACACACCCTCAGCGGCCTTCAGTGACCAGCCAACCAGTAGGCTATCCGCGAAGTGTTGGAGATTGGTGAAGGAGAAAATGGATTTCTTTTGGCGCCGACTGCTGAAAGAATATGCCCCGACACTCATTCGGCGCACAAAATGGTCACAGCCAGAGGACATCATCAAATCTGGAGACCTCGTATGGATACTGGAGGACTTCAGTATGGATCTGGTCACTTGGACGAATCATCGAGACTTTCACCGGGCCTGACGGCAGAGCGCGTTCGTGCGTGATAAAAAAAGCGCTAGGGAAAATAAGTCGACCCGCCGTAAAATTAGCTTTGGTAACACCTAGGGAAAACACTAAGGGCTCCCCCGAGGATCATTAACAATCATATGATTAAAGTCGATTTGTGACTTCTTGATATCTTAAATGTAAATGTGAACACTTTTTAACATTTGACTGTAAGATAAAGTTGAGAACTAAATATGAGAAACCATGCAATTCAAAGCTCAAAAGACTAATGGTTCGGCAATCATCATCAAACTGTCTGTGAATCTTAGATGACTATCCAAAGCGGACGTCCCCCCCTCAGGAATTCGACCCCCTGCCGACCCAATGGGTCCCCCCTTTGTACTATTTTGATATCCTTTTTGGCGACAAATCGTAAAATTTTTCTAAGGCGCCTTCAGCGCCAATATATAGTATTTTTGAGGTAGGAGCGCGCGCCGAAAAAACGCAGTTTTTTGTCAAAATTTTCCAAAAATTGTCTAAGAACCAATTTAATTGCCTGTTTTTTTTTCAAAACTTTGCCTGCGGCGCAAGAAAATTTGGTCAAAATGAGGTCTTTATAGTGATTTAGGAGAGCTCGAAAAATCAATTTGCTCAACCTAAAAAAAAAGTCGCCCCACTCTAGAAAATCCTAGATCCGCCCCTGAGTTTTGGTATCCATTTTCAAGTTTGACTATTCATGTCGATGCCCTGCGACAGGCTGATGCCTCTTAGGTTGTGGCCCAAATTAAATTATATTCTGAACGCACAGTTGACTAGAGTATGCTGACAAGTCGCAATTGCCTCGAAAAGTTGAGTTGAACAAACTCTCACCTGAGTTCCACTTTTGAGGTCGAACAGCCCAATCAGTCCAGTGTAAGTGGCCATAGAATACATGGAGTGACTGATGGCTATGGAGGACACTATTCCACTCCCATTGCCCCTCCCTCTTCCTCCACTTCCAAACCCACTACTCATGCACCTGGTCGAAGTCGTGTGATATAATAGGCGACACTGTGTAAAACCATGATCCGAACTATTTCCCGAAGGTCGAGGCAAAGTTAACAACTTCAAAAAGAAGCCGAAAAAACTGTTTATACCTCTTTAACATCTGATCACACAATTTTCTATTTGATACAAGAATAACCTAATTATTTTTAATTCTTTGAAACATCTTTGAAATCATTAAATTTTTGAATAACTTTCGTAAAACTAAAAATAATTCTTAAAATTGGATGGAAATACAGCGACGCTTTATGATTCTTTTCGCCTCTAAATGGCATCAACATGTCATTAGGCCACCTATTGTATTATATTGCAACACCTGGTCACAGGCGGGTCGTTTGGTCTGTTGAGGTCAACTATGCGTAACAGTGACTTGTCGAACCCACAGAACAGATGTCGTCCTTCGCTGTCAAATTGCACGCAAAAAGGTCCTGTTACCTCATCCACGTGGTTCTAAGCTTGCCTCCTTTCTAACTATAAGTTCATGGCCAAGATTATATTAAGTTAAGAAACTAACCTTGTTAAACTTATAATAAAGACACTTCTTTGTACAGATCACCAATTTTTGCGATGAAAAGAATCTTAAAATTTTGAGCCATCTTAGCGTTTTTTACTCGATTACTACTCATTCGGCTTTTCTTATTTCAGGAGAGTGGATTTTGTTAATGGGTAAAATTCTGATTCCACCGGAAAATCTTGAACTTAAAATCCACTTTCGAAACAAGAAGCCGTTCACGTTTTTTGCGCCTTTTCCACTTGCGTGATCGGAGAGAGCAGTTTGCCTGATTTTTAGCAAAGGAACTTGACTGGAACTCAAAATTGCATATGAGCAAAATGCTTTCATCAATGCATCAATATGTATGCAGCGCTTCTGTTAGTGCACCTTAAGAGCAAAATAAGTAAAAACAGCTTCGTTCTTTACGCGGGAAAAATAAGAACTACTATTCACTTTCAGGAATGGTTACAGTCAAAATTCTCACGTTGCAAAATGACCCACTAACAGACAGTTATGTATTACAAATCTGAGAGAAAAGTTACACTACTGGACAAACTTGAACGCAAATTTACGTTTTTGTTCTCTAAAAGCCTAAAATCAAAGACAAATCTGGACATTATTTTGTTAGAATTTTACCGAATTTTTTTTACATCAACCGACTGCAAATGATCTAAACTATCCTCTCTGAAGTTCTCAAATTTTGATTTGAAGCACTAACCAGTTTTTTCGGGGTCTGAACATGCAAGTTTTCACCATTTTTAATAGGTTTTTTAATGGAGCGAAAACTTTTTTGAATATTTGCATTGCTGAGTGTGACAACTTTTCTCAACTCTATTATTGCTTTTTTTTCACACTGTTAGAAAAACTTTTTACAAATGGTTAAAACTGGCATTTTCAGAACCGGAATAAGCTAGTTTAGGCTTCAAAAGTTGAGACTATCAGAGAGGGAAGTTCAGGTGATTTGCAGTCGGTTGATGTAAGAATTTTGGTAAAATTCTAACAAAATATTGTCAAAAGTTGTCTTTCAAATTAGGCTTTCTAGAGAACAAAAATCTGAATTTGTGTTCAACTTTGTCCACTAGTGTATTTCAGTCAGAGCAGTTAAAACAGTTAAAAGGATGTTGATTGATAGGAAATATTCTGCCATTCGCTCCTTCTACTTTAAGGAATTCCCCCTGGTGGTTAGAATAGAAGAGAGGCAGGCCTTGATAGAGACAGAGCACACTGTGTGACCAGTGTCTGCACTCCACATCAGCACGGGCGACCTCCTCGATGACGTCACAAAGGAGGGAGACTGGGGGTGCCACTTCATGTCGTACACTGGCTGCCCCAAATCAACACACAAGTCTGGTACAACATCTTCCTAATGACCAGTGATGAACAATCCATGCAATTAAGACCTATGTATTATCTATGTATCAGAAAACTAGTGCTCATTGTGCTCGTTTTTGATGGTTTGCTATAATATGTTCTAATACACATCAGTTGAAATTAGAATTGTGCTATATGATGAAGCCAAGGCGTTGTATTGAGGCGTTATAATAAGAAACATCATAGCGGTTAGATCCAGTAGGAAAAACACAGCCGCAGACATTTGGTAAAGAGTTAATGAACGCAAAGAAACGGAAAAAACTCTTTCTTTTTGATTATCAAAGAAAAAATATGCCCTTAAAGCTCTTTGAATCTCTAGAACAATTTATCACTGGCACTTTTGATACAGACAACCCAATTTGAGAAAACTGGATCAAACAGGTAAAGTTTTTACTCCGCTTCGAAATCTAAAAATTAAATAGCACTTTTGTTGAAACTAGAAATCGATCAGGTTGTTTCGCGCTTTTTCAGCTTTCAAAATTGGAGAGTGCATTTTGCCTAACTTCTACCAAATGGTCTCAACCTAACTTGCCGACCTTCTACCAAATTGAACTCAAAAAGTGCACATATATCTAAGGCCATTAATATGTGCATTAATGAATATGAATGCACTTCTTTTAAAGTGTATTAGAATGTACTGAGTGCATTAGAGCATTCCTAAAATTCTTTTCGTGAAACAAACATCATCTCGACCTATACTGCGTTTTACGGCGACAAAACGCGACAGCAATTTTTCAGTGAGCCGAAAATGTTTAAAAGGAAATAATTGAGATTTTGCAAAAACCATGCGCTTGCTGTGATAGATAGCAAGAAAAATTGGCATTTTGCCTGGCAATTAGGCTACCTTCATTGACTCAAGTACCATATTGAGTTTATGGTTTTGTTTGTGGGTTATATCTACGTGTTTAGAAACGTTCACGTATCATAGCTCTCCAGGATTTTTCAAGTCTAAGTTACAACGTTCTCAATCAATTTAGTTCATGCCTTGAAAAACCTTGTTAAAAAATCAAGAAGCCGAGAAAGAGGGACGCGACGTCCTTTTATAATACAGCCACGTTAAAAAATCATTTGAAGAGCTTCATTTTAAGACCCAATAATAAAATATAGATTGCGTGTTTCGCAAGTTGAGGACCCTTTAAGCTTAAGTCACAGAAGTTACAGAATCGCTATCGCTTTACAAATCAGAAGATATTGCGCTTCTAAAAAAACTTTGAAAGGACATACTTTTTACACAGAGGCGAAGCAGAGCGATACAACACAAACATAGCATGACAACCTACCCGACAGAAATTGAGACAAAAATTTTGAAAATGTCGAGAAAAATAGATCTAGCAAAACTTGCCAAACAAGATAATCGAACATTAAATTTGCATCTGAACAGATCTTACTTAGCAGTAACAAAGCTATCAATTTATGGCAGACCCCATTGGAGCTCAAAAATTGTTTTCATAAAAAAATTTTGAAGACCCTCCAAAAGATCACAAAAAAAGAATCCCTCCAAAAGATTACAAAAAAGTTTTGAAGACCCTCCAAAAGATCACAAAAAAAACAGGCAGAGTAAAAAACAAAACAAAAATTCCTTGCCAACAAAAAAAAACAAATAATGATAAAAAAAAGTTATTTGAAAAGCAGACTAGCTCAAAAAAACTAGTAGCTAACGACAGCACAGATTTGAGTAAATGGTTCAGTGATTCTGTAGGACAAGTTGATTACATAAAAATCGCTATGTTCCCAATCGATAATGCTTGCTAATCTCGAACAGAACAATCGTTTGCTTAATAATCCAAGCACAAAAATCGACGACTCAAAAACTTCGAAAATTTCGTTTATCTTTGTGTCGGTCAGAAAGTCATCTGGTTGTTCTTTTGCCGCGTCAAAAGTTCTACTTTGGAGATCGAGCTCTGGTCTGGGCCAACGTATCTTATTCGAAGTTGGTCGAGTGCATTCTCGAGATTATTTTGTACAGCTTCTGCTAGACTGAGGTAAAAGGTGAGGGCGTTACAGTCTAGGTGAAAAAAAAAATTAACGATTTTTTTAAATGCAACATAAATTTCGCATTTTTCTTTACTTCTTTATCTCCAGTAATTGAATTTACAAATGGCTTTCAGAAATTTAGAAGAAAGCTAAACCTTCAAAATGTGTCTGTGTTACGGAAAACAAGACGACAAAAAGAAACAGACGGACGATTAAAAAACGCTTAAAGTTTTTTGTTTCCAAAAAAAGATCCAGACCAAATTTGAACCCAACCTCTGTCGTTTCAGAGTTTCAGCAAAAAGTGTTATCTCTACGCAGATGCACTCGAAGGCTGATAAATTTTGAATTTCGTATGAAGTTGGTTGAAATGTGTAACAGTTTCACGTGCGAAATATGGTGAACAAAATTGTTTGTGGGAAAAAGTCTAGTACCCGGTTGCAACACCCTTGCTTATCGGAAGGGTATAAATTTGAGAAGCGGTTGAAAGAATTCCATTTACATGTTTGTTGACGAAAATAACATCTCTGATAAACTCAAAAGGATGATCATAAGCCTTGAATTTCGAGATTTTTTGAAATATTCATAATACTCGGTCTGAATTTCGTAACACAAATTAGAATGCTTTTAAATTGTTGAAATTTCAAGTTAATTTTATTTGAATTTGTTTTTTTATGGGTTAATCTACCATGCGCAGAAAGCAATCAAGTAAGTTTATAGCCCGTCTCAAAATCAGTTTCTCCAAACGTTTATCTAACATTGCTGTAGTATCGACAAATATCGTGTCCATCTTGTTGTGCTACTTATTTTTATTGACAAGATTTTTTAAGAAATTAATGAAATTGTTGCAAGAGAAAAATCCTATTGAGGATCTAACAGAAAACTATGACTAGTGAGGATTTATGAGCTTGTAAATAATACCCACAACCCTACATACTCAGTTTAGTTCTGCGAAATATTGAAAACAGGCCACGTTTTGTTTTTCGGAAATAGCTTTTATAGGCAAATATTCATCACTGCCTTCAAGACTGTATCTCCGGGAGAAATGTACAAGCGTAGGACGTTGTCGTTGCTGTTGCAGAGAAGCCTCTGACCGTCTGGCGAGAACTGTAACCCTATCAGATAATTTTCAGGGGGTCGGCAGAATTGTTCTCTGCTCACAGCTAGCAAAACTGCTTCGCTCTTGCACGCTCCTTTTTCAGAGTCGTGCATTCTGTACCCAACTAATTACTTCATTACTAAACCAGAAAGTTGTGGCAGTGAAATCAAAATCTATCTGAAAATAAGATTAAAGATGGGAACAAGAATCATTCAGATAAGTTTGCTTTAGTTTCATCTTTTCTACAGTCAAAAATCAAAGCGCAAAACGAACCGTAAAATCGTTACCTGAATTTCAAAAATTCTCTTTTTTCGACTTTCTGGTCAGAAAAAGTTATATCAAAACGTATCTAGTCGATTGCTCTGCAAATAGCACAGAATTCTCCGACTATACTGGTAAAAATACCTTATCGGGCAATCGTTATAGTCGAAAAATTACAAGACAATTTTATTTTTTCATTTTTTTTTGCAGAAATTTTTTATTCCCAAAAACTTTTTATTAACAAGGTAGCACAAGAAAAAACTTCAATGAATACTTTGACTGAAGTGAAACTTAAGTTTCATGGCTTGTCTTTCTATATTCAGCCTGATAGCTTACTTTACTCGCTCAAAATTATACTAAAATTTGAAACCGGTTTTTCTCGATATTGAGATAATTTTTAACCTCGTTCGAAAGAAGGCTGAAAAGGCTTCAACATGATATATCACTCCACTCATTATGATGATTACTTGCGGTAAAGTTATTGACTGAACAACAAAATAAGCGTGCTCGCTCACCTTGTTCGATCGAATTTAGACCAAAAATCTAAAATTTCAAACCAAAAATCAAAAAATTTAGACCAAAAATCAATAAATTTTAAATGTCGTTCGAATCACGAATGAACGGGCTTTAATATGATAAATCACTCGACCCAATCCGATGATTATTTGTGGTTATTGCTTTTGCGTGGAAAAAAAGAAAAAACTAAACCACACCCGAATACAAAGTTCCTCCCCTTAGAAACAAAAAAGTTAAAAACTGGCTTTAAAAGTAGCTAAATCATTTCCGGCACATTAACACAGCAAAAATAAAAGATAAATATAATATTTTTTTACCGCAGTTCGGTCATTCTTCTTTAGCAAGAAAAGTACCACAAGGCTTCAAATTTAGCTTCAGTCTGCTCGCACATGTTTTTTTTTTAATTACACAAGCTGGTGGCCCATCCTGTAGTGATGGTGCCCAGTAAAAAAAATGATTGAGCGTTCAATCGCAGGTGCGCTGCAATTTGCAACGACCCTCAATCGGATCATGCATGAAAGTTAACACGTGGATTTATTACTCTTTTATCGCTCTCTAATTAAACTGTTGTTTATACCTAATTTTGCTGCCAACCTGTGAAAGGTTATGGGCCCAGCTGCTAAAATACGTCTCAGAAGTCAAGATTGACTGATTTAACAAAAAATTTTGAGAGACCAAGCTGTAAATTATTGACACAGTTAGAGTCACAAAAAAGACAACCGAGGAAAAAGTCAAAAGGAAGATAGTGAACTGGCAGATAGACAACAGAGCAATACAAAGAGTCATTGAGACAGGGCAGTGAGACAATTCAGTGATCAGTGAAGTTTGGAGTCACGAGCAAATCTGAAAGAAGCACACGAGAGAAAGACACACAAAGCGAGAGAGAGAGAGAGATATAGAGAAAGAGAAAGAAACAGTAATAGATAGAAACTGAAAAAACTTTTCAGTTTGATAAATTCAATTGATGTGGTGTTTCAAAAATTTGTAGACATTTGTTGTTGCTTGGGGGTTATCGTAATCCGTCGCTGCGAGATTTGAACTCGAACCTGATTTAAAGAATAGAAGTTCCACAAAAACACTCCAAAACTTCCATTTTGCTAAAATATATTGCGATGTATGAAGTCTGAGAAGTAACCAAAGCTTTGCTAAATCGCTGATATGTTATTCAGTACGCTTACCGGTAGGTTTTGGATCAGACTTAGGTAATGAGATACATGATTACTTGAATTATGGGCTGCGATATGTTTGCTGATATAATATTGACTGAATTTCTGTCATTGAAAAGTACGTGGAACATAAGATATCTGTTCATAGCAATACGGTTTAGGTGAAAAATGTCTACGTCAGAAAGAATAGTGTTTTCAGGAAAAGAAGATTTTTTTTACTTTGCAGAGCAATTTGAGGCTACAATTTTTCATCTTAAACTGAATAAAGTTATCAACAGAGAAGTAGATGAGAAAGATATTGCACCCAGTGTTAGGAATAATGCTACTGTAGAACAGAGAGAAGCATCTTTAAGTGAAGGGAAATCTTAGGTGAACAGAAATCTTAGGTGAAAAATAAAGTTTGGAATGAGTTGGTCCAATGTTTAGACAAAAAAATCTGTTTTGTTTTTAAGACCCTATAAAGGCAAGGGAAGTAAGGCTTGGTAAAATCTTGTCCAAAAGCGCCGAGAGACCAAGACTGCAGCAATTGATTTCAGAATTAACTCCGATAAGAATGAGCGCTAATGAGAGTGTAATCAATTAAATCACTAGAGCTGAAGAGTTGCAGTATAATTTAGATGAAGTAAGCAAGGGTTTAAGTGAAAAGATGTTTGTGTCAATCATTCTTAAAGGCCTACCAAAAGAGTTCAATACGTTTTCTACTTCGGTTAAGTTAAGCAAAGATGATAAGAGTTTGAACGAAATTAAGAAAAACTTAATACACTTTGAAACTGATCATAGGAATGAGAAGGAGGAGACTGAACATTCGTCTATTTCTAGAACAAAAACATGTTTTAGGTGCAATAAGACAGTACACATAGCAGCTCATTGTAGATCTAAGTTAGTGAATAAGGTTAACCAGTCGTCTAGTAATAGACCTCCTGTGAAATGTTTCAGGTGCTTAGAAATAGGACACATAGATAGGGATTGTAACAAGGACTTCGAGAGAAAAAGCGTGAGAGAAGACCAGAAGCTGACTGAAACAAATGCAACTTATTTTAGCTTTTACAACTCAGCCGAGAGAGTCAACGGTGACCTAGTTATAGATTCAGGCGCAACTTGCAGTATGATAAAGGATAGGAATTTATTTGTTGAGCTGGGCCAGAGTTTGAGCGAAACTGTTGAAAATGCTAACAAAACGGAGTCTAAGGTTTTAGGCAAAGGAAGAGTTGAGTTTTTTGTGAAAGATTCTCAAGGAAATTTGAAAAAAGTTTCAATGAGTGACTGTTTCTATGTACCAGAAAACTCAGAAAGTTTATTGTCTGTCTCAAAACTTACTAGAGGAGGAGCTAAAATAGTTTTTGGAGAAATGTCATGTATTGAGCAAGGAAATGGGACCATATATCCCTTTAGTGAGCGAGGAAATCTTTTTATTTGGAAGATAATAGGATTTAGAAATCACAAAAAATTAAGTGTTGATAAAGTAGGAAACAATTCTTCAGAGTTCAGAGTCAATAAGACTTATTTTTTCAGAGAGACAGAAGAAAAGAAGACAGAAGGAAGTTTGAAAGCAGAGCAGGCAAATTGATCAGGACATTTGAGGTAGGACAGAAAATAAATGATATTGCTCTCAACAAACACCGTATGGGACATAGTAAAACCGAAACTCCAGACTAGTGTAGGGTATGATGTAGTACTTATTTTGAAAGGAGGAGTGTTAAGTTTCGGAGAAATGACCTCTCACTTTATAGAGAAGTCACTTCCCACTTTTTGGTTCAAAATAAGAACATGATTGGATATCGCACGATGTCACGCGATATCACGTGATGTCATATCACGAGATCAGATCTCAACAGGCAGTTAACTTTCCATATATATAGAAGTTGATTTACTACTCTTTTATCGCTCTCTAACTAAACAGTTGATTATACCTAGTTTTGCCGCCAACCTGTGAAACCCATTACGCAAAATCACTTTTTTGAACACGTTTTGACAATGCAACAAACTCACAAAATTGCTCTTTATCAGGGCCAAGCCCTGAATGGCCCGACGGCCCTCTAACTTTTCTCATGTAGTTTTTGCTGTCACAAATGATAACTTTTACAAAAAAAAAACATTTGATATGAAAATCCTCATCCTCACGCACGGTCAAGCTTAAAAATAAGTTTCGTATTTCTTCCCGCACCGAACGCCTATGGATTCTAATGGATTATAATGGGTTTTCGATTCAACATTTGCATTCCAAACGTAAAATTCAGACCAAAAAATTGATAATATTGTCATTATAATAGATTATTTACGACAAAAAATCCATTACAATTCATTAATTTTGGCACTGAAATCGATTATTTTTGTCAAGATAACCCATTATAATTGATAATTTTTGAAACAGAAGTCCATAATAGGCCATTATAAACAATTATATATTTTTTCCAAGAACTAATTCAATCAGTTTGCAAAAATATAATTTGCATGCCATATAATGCATGCCATATAATTTACAGTTATAACAATCAAGAAAAGTAAAACACGTTACAACAACTTCATCCCCATGATTACTTAAATTTACTAGCCCCACAAGGGGCGGTACTCAACATCAACCCCCTTTCCCGAAATATTTTTAACCACACCTCCAGCCACTTTCAATTAACGCGCCGAGAGAGGGGGTACACTAGAGGGAAAAACTGGGGGTGGGGTTCAATCATTAACCACTAACCCTGCCCCTAATTCTACTATTAAATAATACCATCGTTCAACTATTATCCCCCATGCAGGAGGAGGAGCGAATGGCGGTTGTGTAAAAACAAACAGTTAAATAAAGTGTTAAACTGCCATGAATTGAAAAAGTAGAGACAAAAAAATTATATCAATTGTAATGTGAAATGTAACAATTTATGAAACGTAAAACGTAATACTCAACTGCTTTAAACAACAAATGAGATAAACTTGAATGAAGTGAGATAACTTTGAATAAACTTGTAAATTTCTTGAATAACTTCTCTCAATAATCGATTATAACGGATTATAGTGACATAAGAAAAATATTCGGATTTTACTCCAATTTTATTGAATTAAAATTGATTATTTTGTAATTTTACAGATTCTGACCATAAGATGACAATTTGATCGATTATGATCCATACGCACTCGGTGTACAATATATCAATTGGCTTATTTCAACTGAGTTTGGAGTCATTTCTGAGACTTCGCTATATGCGATTATTTCGTTATATGCGTTACGCGTAAAGATA